GGCCTGGTCACCCCCTTCAGCACCGACTCCCACGGACACTACCTGTCACACCTGCTCTCCGCCACTCACAAGCAGCGTGTTAAGAGGGAGGTGCTTGAAAACGGTGAAACTGAACAGAGGCTTTTCTTCAACATCACTGCCTTTGGAAAGGAGTTTCACCTTCGTCTGCGGCCGAACAGCAGGCTGGTGGCGCCCGGCGCGATGGTGGAGTGGCACGACGAGCTCCCGGGATTCAGAAACGGCAGCGCTGGCAACGATTCTAGCGTGGGCGCCAACCAGACTGAATCCACCAATGGCACGGAGAGGATACTGCGCCGTGAGCTGCTCAAGACCGACTGCACCTTTACCGGTGACATCACAGACGTCCCCGGGGCCTCGGTTGCCATTAACAACTGCGATGGGTTGGTAAGTTTCCTCGGCCGTAAAACTCCTTCCTTTCCCACCCCATGAAAGTCCTTTTCACTTCAAAAGTGCCGTGACCTTACCAACGGACACCAAAGGATTTTAGATGTCTGCAGCATTCCTTTACATCACTGCTCGGCATTTTTACAGCACATTGTTGCTGTGGACGTAACAGCTTTTTGTACTTTTTGTACCGAGGTTTGTTACGGGTGAGTAGTCTCCTATTGCATTCGTGAAGGGATTTTCCTCCTAACCTCTTCCCAACATAAAGCACGAGTTCCTTTTGTCCTTTCTAAAAGTCTGCAGTCCCATCCTCCCTATCACCCCTCATAAAACACTCGGACCGTCATTGGGCAACGACCAGAGCCAAAATTTCTTAGAGTTGGCCAGCGGAGCATCTCTGCATTTAAGGAAAGAATAGGCCAAACCCAGATTCCTTCAGCTCTAGTTGAAATACTGCAGAGATTTGAAAAGCAACACAAAGAATGTCCTCCAAAAATCACCTTCCTGACGGGGGAGTGATGGACGGCGCTCGTAGTGTCTTTTTAGTTTTTGAGCTGTTCAGTCGGGGAGACTGAAATAAAAATGAATTTCTGCTGCTAATGGTGAACATTTGTAGGGCTGTAGGGCTGACTCTCTGTTGGAAAGTTAATGTTTCAGATATGCATGACAAAGTTAAAGCAAAGCTCCTAACAGAAGGTAAAAAGGTCAAAATGCAAATCCGATGCACTGAGAGTTAAACTAGATTTGCT